GCCCCCCCCCGGAGCCCACAGCGCGGGAGGCGCCCCCACCCTATTTGCAAAGTCCTGCACTCGCGCCTAGCACCTCCCCCTCTTCTCCCCTACCCCGCCGCCCCCTCAGTTGAAGTAAGTGACCCCCAGGAGCAGCAGCCCTCCCCTCCCCCGGAGCCGCGCGCTGGGCATTCCCCTGGCCACAGCCCGCGACGCGCCGCCCCGCGCCCGGGTGCCAGCCCTCCGTGCCCCCTGCCTCCCGCACGGCCGGAGTTGGGTGGCAGCCGCCGCGCGCAGGCTGGCTGGCTGTGGCTCTCTCTCGCTTGCTCGCTCTGCAAGCGGCAGCCCCGGGGGTGGGGGGCTGCACCGGGACAGGGGGCGAGGCGCGGAAGCACCCTGGGAGGCTCGCAGAGCTGAGGGGCGTGGGGGGGCCGCGCCAGAGGGAGCGCCGAGTCTCTTACCTGCACTTGGGGCGGCTTTGGGTGACTTTCCAAGTCCGGGGGAAAAATGTGTGTGTGTTTGGGATGGAGCGCCGCGGGCGCGCATGCGCTGCCCAAAGTTGCCGGATCCCGGATTTTTCGCTCCCAGTCTCTGCTCTCGCCCGCTGTGATTATGGAATTCTCCGCGGCGGAGCAGGCGAGTGGGTGGCATGCAAAACCCGGGACGGATTGCAGGGCCGGGCTCCGCTCCACCCTCGCACCCCCAGACCTTCCCCGCCCGGTTTCTTCCCACCCACCGCCGGGGCCGAGCTCGGCTTGCGAGCGCCCCGAGGCGCGGCCTGCCGAGGAGCATCTGAGCGCACGGCTCCCTTTTGCGGCTGGAAGCTTTCTACACTCCCCAGCTGCGTGGAGCTGAGGCTGGGGAGATGAGGGAAGGGATGGGAGTGGGTTACTTTTCACCTGTTCTGAACCCCAGAGAGCCAGTCGACTTGCCACTTTTCCTGAAGAACTAGCTCTTTTCTGCAAGTTAGAATGTTAGGAACGTGATGTTCTCACTGTTCCATAACCGCTTTGCACTTATTCTTCGCAAGGGAGTTTTTCGTTCGGTCCGTTGTGCAAGAAATAAATCCTTAAGTGAGCAAGATGGGCCGTGAAGAATGGAGGGGTGGGAGGACGTGCAGATAAATGAACGTTCAAACAAATGAATAATCTTATTTTAGAGAGAAAAGGTCTGTGAAAAAAATAAAACAAGGCATGAAGAGGGTCTTGGGAGAGCTAATTCCCCCTCTCCAGGTGAAAGAGGAGGGCCTCTTTGAGGGGGAGACCTTCATACTCCTCTGGGGAACCCCTCCTTTTCTCCCTTGGCCCTCTCTGCCACCTCCCAGTTGGTTTGAGGTGGTCACACCAGAGCTCAACAGCAGTCGTCCTCTACCCAGTAGCTCTGGTCCTGCCTTCCTTGGGCCAGGTCACCCCCATTCCAGGACTGAGCTCTCACTGTACCTGTTTCCCCATCTGAACAAAGACAGAATGCAAATAATGTCAGATCTGAAAGAAAGGGGGAAGCTCTCCCATGGTGAGATAAGTGACAGACTGACCACAATAGGAAACTAAATAGCTGAACGATTTGTAGAATAAATGAATAAAAATTCTAAGCGTGACCCACAATTTTGAGAGTGTTCAACAGAATGCATAAAACTAAGGGCAAAATGCCACAGGCTGGTAAACATTGTTGCAGGCTGGTAGACTTTCGGGCCTAATCTGCAAGGTTTCAGCAAAGCCTCTCAGGACTGGAAATGACAAGAAGCCCCGTATGGTAATTGTCCAAGAGAGAGATCTGCTGGGATGTATTCCATGCCCTGCCTAAACTGGAAGTTAATTGGTAAATGGATAGAGACTGGAAACTCTATGGTCCTCTGGCCCTGAGGTGGCCAGGATTTGCCTTATCCCTTAAAAAGCCTCCAGATTTGAGAGAGGAGGCACGACATCGCACACCCCTTAGATGCTGAGTGCTCTCTGCTTGTTTTAAACTGGCCAGGAAGACACTAACTCAAAAACAGAGTTTGTCTCCTTACCACCCGGAATGAGTGTGGATCAGTTCAGGATTTGTCCACACGGGAAGATCAGATTTGGGGGTGAGATACACCTCTCGATTTCATTTAGTTTTCTCCCCTCCTTATCCCCATAATTAATAGAAAGCAGCAATACATCAATAATTAACAGTCCCCATGGACTGCTGACCCATTACTCTGCATTGCCACCCCTACCCCCATCAAAGGCACCCTGAGTTCCCAGGAGTTGGCTGCTGGCCTTTAAGACCCTTGTGCCTAGTGACTCAGCAGAAGGCACAGCCCCAAAGATCTCAAGCCCAATCCTGCCATTCTGCAGAAGGAGAAACTGAGGCACAATGAGGGGTGGAAAACCTGAGAAGTGGCAAGGAAGGTCTTCTAACTTTTGAGTCGGGGCTTGTTCCACTCCTGGGCAGTATGAAGAAGTGGTTAATGGCTTGGGCTTTGGGGTCACACTGCAGCCACTCACCAGTGGAGTGACCTTGAGGAAGGTATTTGACCCCTCCGTGCCTCAGTTGCCTCAACAGTAAAATGGGGATAATAATAGTACTTAGTGCCTGGGCTCGTTCAGAGGCTAAAATGAGTTAATGCAGGAAAAGCGCCTGGGCCAAGATAGTGATCGATAAATGCCAGTAATTGTCATTGCTCCTTGGGACATCCAGTGCTCCCTCTGTTTCTCATTGCTTCCTGTCTTCTCTCCCTTCCTTCTCCTCTGTCCTTTTTTTCCCTCCAGCAACAGCCCACATTCATCCATTCATACACCAGGCATTTGCTGAGCCCCAGTGAGCAGATTCTTACCAGGGCTGGGGAGACAAAAACGAACTCGAACTCGGAGGGCCTGGCCGAGGAGTTTGCTGGCCTCTCCCCTCCCCCTCCTCCCGCCCCGCCAGCCACATCTCACCCACCAAACTTTTATTAAAACATTTATTCTTCCCTCCATTTTTTTCTCAGACACTTTGCAATTCTCCCATCCCCCAAAGAGGCTTTGTCTTCTAAAGGAAACTCATCTGGGATGGGGTAAGCGGGAAAGGAGGGAGGGGGACATTGGGATGAGATGAAAGGGAAGGTCCCTCTTCCTTTTCCAACTACCCCCCCCCCAACTCGGAAAATAAAATCAGATAAGCAAGGGGCTAGGAGAGAGCACCACACCCAGACAGTAGCCTCTGGTCTCTCAAGCCTCTCGAACTTGCTCCCCGATCCCGCCCCTTTGCAGGGACTGAAATCAGATGCTCTTTTCCTCATTTGCTTAATTTTAGCATCTTGAGCTT